AATGTCAAATCCATCACATCAAATCTATTATGGCCTCTATGCCCATTAATTATAGAATGTGGTCGAACTAACCAACCTGGTCGTGTATATATATATACACTAAAATAAAGGGTACATATATATTCTATATATGTTGCGGTTATATAAATATTATATAAAATATATTTTATAAATGTTATTTGCACTTAAATGTGATGTAAAAATGGTTAGAATTTTACTTTTTAAAACAAAATCACTAAGGCTACGTTCGGAAATGATGTAAATGAAGTGTAAATCCCGGTTCAGGGTAAATTTGSATTTTAGTTCACCTTTGTCTGTGTTTGACAATATTACATTTATGCATTGATAAATGATAGATTAATGCATATTTACATTGATAATAAGATGTAAAAGTACATCAATAAAAAAGAGGCCGCGTTTGGCAAGTCATTTCATGCGAGCTTTGGGCTGTTTAGAAATTTGGAAGCTTGAATTCTGGGCTTTTCCCGTTTGACAATAGAAAGATCTATTGGGAAAAGCTCCAGCCCATAAAAGACACTAGAAGCCCGAATTTAGGCTTTTTCAAGAAGCTTCAAATGAAGCTTTTACAGTCTTTTAGCGCCCCGTCTTCTTTGAACGTGTGGTACGATGCACACGCTTGGGAGAAAATAGGTTATCTTTTCACAAAAACTATTTGAATGTATAAGTGGGACCTACCAATGGTATGTGGGGCCCACTTTGAAAAATATATGTGGGGCCCACATTGGGTATTATGTGGGACCCACCTTGTAAAATATAAATGGGTCCCACATACATGTCCACACATGGACCCACATGCATATCCACGAATAGTATGTGGGGCCCCACATACATGTCCACCAATGGTATGTGGGGCCCACCTTGCATATCCACACATGGATCTTACTTACATGTCCACATATGGACCCACATGCATGTCCACCAATGGCATGTGGGGCCCACCTTGTAAAATGTATGTGGGCCCCACATACATGTCAACACATGGACCCCACATGCATGGCCACCAATTGTATGTTGGGCCCATCTTATAAAATGTACATGGGCCCCACATACATGTCCACCAATGGTATGTGGGTCCCACCTTAGAAAATGTATGTGAGTCCCACGTGTTAAATGAAGGTTTGTTGGCCCACAGCAAAACATTCACATTACCAAACGGTCTTCTAGCTTTTATGGTCTTTTGTGAGATCTATGTAAAATATTTCAATCAAATAGTCTTTGGTCTTTCAAGATCTATTTGCAAAATCTCACCATCTTTTAACCATCAGATCTTGTAATAGATCTTTTGGAAAAGACTTGCCAAACAAGCACAAAGTAAATTTGCATCCAATTGGGCTTTTGATAAAAAACAGCATATGCTTTATTGGAATTCATGTTTGCATCCATTACTGCTAAAAGTCTGTTTGGTAAGAAGGTGAATTTGTCAATGCAAAACTAACCCAATTTTGCAATTTATATGAACCGTTTTACACTCTACATATTTGCATTCACACTTATTTGCATCGTTTCCAAACACAGCCTAAGGTTTGTCTCTTTACACATATTATTCTTTAAAAAATGTGTGTATTAATACAATAWATACATTAAAAAAATCTAAATGAACACAAATAAAAAGATGTAAAACTAGGACCAGTTCACTAATTTTCCGGTTAAATCGATTGGTCAGCCATCTGTGAACAATTTTTTATGAGTTACGGGTTTTAGCATATGACCGAACCAACCAATGTCCCAAGTCATGGTTCAACCAATCCAATCGATTGTTCCAATCTAGTTTTCTAATCAATGGTTTCCCCTTCCTTGCTAATATTGGTCTCCTAAGGTATAAGATTGTAAACATGTAGATGCTAATTACCACTTTTTTTGTTCAATACTCAAACGCGTGTAGCCATTTTCCATTTTTAAAAGATTTTATTTCCAACAAAGAAGTTTTAATTTCACAATGTCCTCAACCAATTGCAGTTGAGAGGGTTGAGGGACTGTTTGTCAGTTCCGTCTTTCAATTGACGAAGTTGAACAAAGGCCTTACTTCTTTCCATTATGCTTTCCCATTCTTCATGAGTCCAATTCTACATTAATGAAGGATAGGCCAAGGAAGAGGCTAATCAAAATGAGTATCGGGAAGTAGAATATGTTGATTTCGATGTCAAGGATGAGACTTCAGCCTTTCACCTTATGATATTTGAAAATCTGATTTTGTTTTCAAGATTCAACATAATTGAATCAAATTCAGATTATTCAAATATCATAATCAGTTGAATTCAAATATCCTATTCATACCATTCAAATAATCGAATCGAATTCGGATATAACCTGATTCGATTCAATAAATATCTGAACTTGATCAATTATTTAATTTTTATATATAATATATAAAATATTTAAATATTTTATATAATTTATATATATTATAATTAAATTATATAAATAATTTATAAAAATGAAATATATATTTTATATATTTATTAATTACCTAAAATAATTAAAGATGATTGAGAGATAAGAACTTTTGGTCTATCAAAGCTCCAATTAATTGTTCTTGGGGGAGAGATATTTTACGAGAAGGAGATTGTTCGAGTGTAACTAAGGGTCAGAGCATTAGCATTTGGGATGAGCCTTGGGTTTTGGGTTTATCTCATTTCAAGCCTAGTGGGCCATGACCGGCCTCTTCCCACTTAAATTGGGTAAGTGATTTAACTAATCATCAGAAGCATAGGTGGGAAGGAAGTAAGATGAGTCAGGCTTTCACTAATGGCTTGTTTGGACCCCTAATACCAAGGGTTGCTTTTGGTCAAGTCAGTCTACTAGATTGCTTTGCTGTTAAATGCTAGACAGGAGTCAAGACTAATTTTTGTAGATTTCAACCCTCAGAAATGGAAGAAATTATAGGCGTTGCAGTAGTCCCTCCAAAGATTAAAAGATTTTTTTTTTTTTTTTTGTAAATATTGTCACAATAGTATGACAGTTAACGAGGTTGGGCCTTTGGTGGAATGTGTTCCCTAATCTATTACGCATGCCTTGCTTTTTTGTGATGGTTTCGAATCATATTTGGATCAATAATTCTTGTTTGATTATACAATAATTCTTATGTGGCCAGTGGCTTACTTGGAAATCCCGGAATGGTTTTATCTTGAATGAGGTTCAACCTGTCCTAACTTTACAATTTTGAATACAAACAGGTTGATGATAAAGGTGAGGAGAGCTTCCCAAGTCTCTACCTCCACAGGGTGTTGTTAAAGAGAGAGACATTGAAACTATGAAAATGCCCACCGTTAAATCAGAAATATATATGAGAAAATAAGGACAGGCCCAATATAGATTTTTGAATTCCACTGCAAAGCTAAAAACATTTAAAATGTAAAAAACCACCACTTTATACACCAATGCCCTCGTAAATTTGCATCAATTATGAGCTCACACTCATCCCAATTGTATTTTCGGCTTAAAAATTCTGACCCTGGGCTGAACTGTCATTCTCCCAATTATATATTCATGAATTGTACCAAGTCTACAATTCCTCAACAAAGGGGAATTTGGCAAACAGAATCCTAGGGGTGGCAATTTTCCCTATCCCTGATGGGTACCCAGGCTCCCCGACACGACGGGGTCGGGTTGGGGATGGGGCAATCCCTGAATCCCCGATCGGGTTCGAGGACGAGGAATGTATTCCCCGTCCCCACCTGGCCCCGGTTAATATATATATATATATATATATATATATATATATAATGTTATTCGTTTTTAAAATATTAATTATTAAAACTTAAAAAACAGTAAAAGTGTAAAACACTAAACTAAAACCCTCGACAAAGAGAAGAGAGAAGTCGAGAACTCTCAACTCTGTCGCTGGAAGAGCTAAACCAGTGAACCCTATCTTCGTGCGTGCCTTCGCCTTCAACTCTTCGTCGCCAAATCGCCGACTGCCGTCACTGTCGCCCGTCGCCGCCGTTAGAAGACTTAGAACCCTAGATTTGTGCCTTCTCGAGTGATAGAGAAGAGACACTCAAAGAAGAGTTTCAATCATCAGTCCTTCTAACCTTCGTCTATCATCGCTGACGGCATTTGCATGACGTCGTTGACCATCAGACTCTCTCTCTTGTCATTGACCTCAACTCTCCCAATGGTCCTCTCTCAGTCTCAATCTCTCTATTTCAACCTCTTAGTCCATCGGGGATTCGGGTCTTCGACGGGGATTTCATCCCCATTGAGGTCGGGGATGGAGAGGGGATTCCTTTCCATGCCGGGAATTGGGGACGGCGATAGAGGGTGATTTGGGGGTCGGGGTCGGGGATGGGGAATGCAATTCCCGCCCCGAACCCGCCCCTTTGCCCTTCCGACTGAATCCTAGTTGTTACTCGTCTAACTTAATTCGAAAAGTTTATTTACCTCCGCTGTTTGTCAAGGGCAAACAAGGACCATTTGAGACCAACTAACCCACTCAAATTGAGCGGACCATTTGAGGCCTAAGTCTGCCATGGATAAAAGTGGAATTTAAAAAATTGTAGCATTATAATAGCATTTTCTCTGTTTTTTTTTTCTTTTTTGTATTATGTCAGAATTTTCTGTCAATAGATTGCACATGCATTTACTTGAGAGGCAAGGGGAAGATTTTACAAAAGTCAAAACACTAATTTACCCCCTTTCTGTATTACAAGGACACAAATACCCTTCTTATATATGCATGAGTCTGCTTTTTCTTTTGCTTGGTTTTCCATCTGTACATCAACTTCACTGTAATGTATCCAGCAAAAAGAAAGAAAGCAAGAAAAAAAAAAGCTTCACTGTAATGTTACAAATCGGAAAAAAAATTCACTATAATGTTCCCATTCTACTTGAAATGAAAGAATTAAATCCTAGCAAGTGATGCATATTAGATGAATTATTTCATTTTATTTCCATGGAAATCTATGCATTGCAAACAAAAAAAGAAAACAGAAATCAGACACACAGAGCACACAAATAGGTTCCCCATTGAAGTTTTAGTTTCACTGAGATGGGTTTGCATTACTTTCATCATCATCATTTCCGCCATTGTTGTCGTTGTTGGAGCTGGGGCTGGCAGGAAAGATAATTGTCAACCTCTCTAATTGCTGTTCCAAGATACTAACCCTCTTCTTCACTCTCTCGAGTTCTCTTCTGAGCCCGTTGATTGTCATCATACAACATTCTTCGGGACTTATTGTACGAAGACCAAGTTCTGCTCCATGAATTCTTCCAATTAAGGACATAACCATGTCCTGTTCGCTATCCAAACTTTGCCGAAGGTCTTCCAGTGTGCTAACCGTCGCAGACCAAGTTGCCAGCTGGTTTGGTGTTCCCTCTTGTAAAACTGTTGGATCAACACCTCCATCGATTTGAATTTGATCAATGTTGATCTTTGCACCACCCAAATCAACAATTCCTCGCATCCCTGGTTCAGCTCTATCTTGTTCTTTGGTTACCTGATCCTGCTGATCGACATCAATGGTGTTTCTGATGATCTTACTACTGTCAGCTGCTGCAATAAAATCCTGATCGTCTTCCGTCGTCTGGGTCTGAGAGGAGCTTTCTTCTTTGTCAGTTGGGAAAATAGGGTCCAGCTCTAGTACTCCCTCATTGAAATTCCATCCACTTATCCTTCTATTCTTGACAGAGTAATCAAGGGATGCTTCGTCGCTGTCATCTTCATGTACATTTACATCGGTGCTGCAAACCGGTGGAGGATGATCTACTATGATTTTCTTTAACCTCTCTTCAACTGTGGGCAACCCTTGCAATAAATTCTTGGTGAGGAAATCTGGGGTCCCGCAGTTCTTGAAGAAGGGATGCTTCAACAACATCTCTGCGGTGGGTCTCTTCGATGAATCTTGATTTAGACAATCTTTGACCATCTCTTTGAAGTTCTTTGAAAACCTACTCTTGTCTTTCGTGTTCTTCCCGTAGTCTTGAAACTTGGTGGCGAATCTCATCACCAGAGTTTTTGAGGGAGGAAGATGAGAGAGTGGAGGTCGACCATGAGCAAGCTCTAATGCCGTAATCCCAAATGTCCAAATATCAGCCTTGAAGCTATACCCAGTGTGAGAGTGTATCACCTCTGGTGCCATCCAATAAGGTGTTCCTGCCACACCATTGAATTTCATGGACGACGGACTGGGTTCGTAGATTGACGCAGAGACACCGAAGTCGGCGAGTTTAATAGACCCATCTGAAGCAACCAGAATGTTCCCAGCCTTGATGTCTCGATGGACCCGGCCTTGGTCATGGAGGTACATGAGAGCGTTGAGGGTTTCTCTCAGAACGATAGCTATGCAGGGCTCCGGCAAGCCATCAGGGAAAGACGAAGAGATGATGGATTGAAGAGAACCACCAGACATGAAGGGCATGACCACCCAGAGATGACGATCGACTGTGAACGAACAATGGGCTCTAARGATGTTTGGGTGGGAGTGAAGGGACATGGTGTTGGCTTCCCGCCTTATATCGTCGAAGTTGGCTTTGGATCGATCAAGATCGATTGCTTTGATTGCCACGGCCGATGAGTTCGACAGGCATTCAGCCTTGTAGACAATTGCGCTTACACCAGCTTCGATCATGGCAAGTATCTTGTAGGAACTGTGATCGAGAGGATATTGATGATTCTGTCGAGGGTCCTCATCTTGTTGGTCCATGGACGACTGACGTGGGTCAGTTACGTTCTTGATAGTTTCAGACTTCAGAATTCAGGTTGATTGAGGGTGATGGTTTTCTCAGAGAAATGTTGTATGGGTTTCTTGTGGGTTTCTTGGAAGGAGATTGAGGAAGAAGATCAAAGGTCGTAGAGTGGAAAGGTTAATTAATTTCTGGTGGGTTTTCTTGTGATTAAGAAGTGAAAAATTAAAAAGCTAGAGTATTATATATATATATATATATATATAGGTTGTTGCGGGCTTTTAACTTGTATTTCTAGAAACTAAGCACATGGAACTGCAGGAGAGGAGGAATGTCATTACACCAATACAGAGATCAAGACATGAAAGGACAATCGTTGGTATGGTAGGGGCTCAGCCGCTCAGGCCGGGGACAATGCACCAAATTTTATATAGTGGAGGGGAAACTTGGGTAAGTAATAAATGGGGGACTCCTAATATCCAATGTCACAGGCCCCTCTCTACACATGCACGAGTTTCACAATATATTATTCTATATTTTATACTAGTAGGACCGTGCGAGGCACGGAAAAATCTAAAAGATTTARTAGTTTTATTTTTTATTTAATGTTGATTTATAAAAAATAATTATTATTAATTAAATATGAAAAAATATTTTTTTTATAAATTTAGTTTTATTAATAATTTATTATAATTTTAATAATTTTTATCCTTTATATTATTTTTAAATGTAATTTTGATTAATTTAAAATAAAGAAAAATAATTATAAAAGCTAAAATTTTTATTAATTCCACTAATAATTAACAATTATATAGGAATGACAATGGGGTGGGTTCAAAGCAAGGCATCCCATCCCTTTTCCTGCCCCATAGTCAAGACACTCTACCCCATCCCTACCCCGTCCCCAATGTCACACGGGTTCACTGCAAGGTAACCACTCCTCAAATGTCGGGCGAGTTCAGGTGCAAGGCACCCCACTTCTCATCAAGGATGGAGAATCCTCGAATTTCCCTGCCCCATCCCTAGTATTGGGCAGATTCAAGTAGAGGTGTAAGTTGGGTCAACACGACATAACGTGCATGTGGCCCGCACAAAGTGCAAGTCGTGCCATGCTGGCCCATGAGGCGTCCTGTGCCGTGCCTCCCTAGGATAATTTGGGGGGTCGGTTCGGCATGGCCCACGGTTCGAGCCCGYTCGGGCTCATGCTATGCCCTAGGTCAAGCTGGTCCATGGGCCAGGCCATGTCGCACACCAAGCCAAGCTCATGGCAAGGCACCCACTCCCCATGCAAGGTTTTTAAAATTGGACCGGATAGGGAACCATTATGGGGTCAAACGGTTTGACTGTTCGATCAAACAGATTACTCGCTCTGACAAAAAAAGGCCAAGAATTATTGTCCGGGTTGACGGTTCGACCGCCAAGGTCAGTGGTTTACTAACCAAATAAACGGTTATTGGACAAAAAGCGGTTTTGAGATGAAACGGTGTCCGATTCCCAATTTTTCCGATCTAACATCTGGTTTGATCCAGTTTTGAAAACACTGTCCCCATCAACCCAATATTCAATTTGATGATAGAAATGATCAAAATGATATATTGAGTATTAACCACATGGTAAATTTCTAAAAGTATACTAAATTGTCCTTAATATTCAAAAATGTAATTTTATGAAAATTTTGGAAAATTTATTGTACTTGTGTAATTTTAAAAATTTATTCAAATTTATTTAATTTTTTATTAAATTATACTAATTATACTAATTTTATTGTACTTACAAAATTATACTAATTTATCTTATAATTTCTAATATAAACTAACCAATAGTTTCCTTTTTCCAATATTATACTAATTTATCTTAATAATTTGTGTAATTATTTGTTCAAATTATAGTTTTCCAATTCCCATAGTCATTTATCTTTAATAATTTTCAATAATTTGTAATGAAAATTACATAAATTTTCAATTCTTTTCCAAAATCTATCAAATGTAATGAATTTTCCTAAAATTTCCAAAATATTATAATAATTTTAAATAATTATTTAATACATTTTAAATAAACTTTCAAATACTTTATATCTTTTAATTTCAAAAATGTTATTTTATGAAACTGTAGTTTTATGAAAATTTGTGAAAATTTTCTTACATTTGTGTAATTATGGGGATTTATTGATTTTTTATAAATTGTTATTAAATATTTATTTTTTATTTGGTATATAAATAACTAAATTACACTAATTTATCTTTTATTTTTCAATATAAATTAATTAATAATTTCATTTTCTAACATTGTAATATTTTGTTCCCCCATTTGTATTTGGTTATTAATTATAATAATAAAAATAACTATAATTTTATACTTTTTGATAATTGTTAAATATAATTCTCAATTTTATAAAAATTAGTTAAAGAGTTTTCAATTTTTATAAAATATTGTTAATGAGTTAATTAATAACATTATTTATTAATTTTTGGTAATTTACTAATCTTACTAATAAGAATATTTATTTTTTGGTAATTTACTAACCGTATTTATTAACCTTTGGTAATAACATGATTTAATACTCATTGAATATGGGTGGGATTAAATATTAACCGTATTTAACTATTTATTAATTAATATGAATATTTTAAATGAGGGAGAATGGATATAGATTGGGGGATGCATTTTAGGAATTGATTATTGAGTGGGACAACATGATACTTTCGTATTGGTTTAAATGAGATACCTTAGGAGAGAGATTATAAGAATATTATTAGGTAGATGGGTGACATGGTTATGGGAGTAGTGAAAAGGGGAGAGGGGAGAAAGTCAAAGAGAATACAATGTGGGGATAATGGAGCAAGGAGAGGCATGGTGACGAGGACTGGTGCTTTGTTAAGCGAAAGTTAAACAATATACCCAAATCGATACAACCCGAGTTGGTGGGTTTTCGCTAATGGTCAACCGGTTTCCAGTGACAAACTGAGGACTTGATCAGATCGATTTGGTTGGCGAAACAGCCTGCAACTGAACTGAACCAATCATTGAACACTCCTAATTTTAACTAATTTTATAGTCTWATCTCTAATAAATGGCAATAGTTTAATCTCCAATAATTATTGAAAATTTATAGCAAACGTACCTAATCAATGAAAATAAGTTTATAATGAAAATATAATAGATATATAATAAAACTACAATAATTACAAAACTACAATAAATACTAAAAATTTACTAAATTAGTCAATAAATAGTGAAATCTTAAATAATAGTTTAATCTCTAATAAGTATTAATCTATGAATTATAAAAAATATATAATTATTAAAAATAAATTTATAATAAATATTAAATATAGTATATATAAATATATAATTAATATACACTATAGTTGTAAAATTATTACTAATAAATATAATTTTGTTGATAGTTATTTTCTACAATTATTAATTGATATAAGTGAAGTTAAGTTATTTACAATATTATTTAATTATTGAAATAATATTTTTATTTAAATTCTTAAAATATTGATTATTTATTGTTACTATATAATTTCATGATGATGTTTGTAAAAATATTGAATTATTAATAATATGAATATTATTAAATCTATTAATATTTTGTGTTTTGAATAAATATTTTAAATTTAGTATATAATTTCGTTATAACATTTAAATAGTTCTGAATTTTTTTTAATTAAAACTTTCTTTAGATAGATATTGATGGAGAGTGATTTGGCCCGACCTCGTTGTAAGGGGACACATGGACGTGACTCGACATAGGTGACAACTCACTACAAAGGTGTACTCCACTACCCCGAGCTAGGGATCCTTCGAGTTGAAATCTTTTCGAGCTAAGAGCACCTCGATTCTCATCCCGAGCTAAGGGTACCTTGGCACCAGGTCGCAGCATGAGTTTATAATTTAGTTCGAGGTGTACGACCCTTAGATCGAGAACACCAGTTCGAGGTAGACACCAACTCGTGTATGCCGATCTACCCTCAACATAATCCCGATAATCACTCTAACGGTTCCCGAATTCCACGGGATCACGCCTCGTGACAACTAAGCATTTTCTCTCTGTTCGATCCGGGCGGAAGTGATTAGCCTTATCAACTGATAACGTTATCTCCGGATAACACGGTAGCGGATTCTATCATGGCAAAGATCACGAAACTTCCCCGTGAAGCCCACGAGGACTCCATTATATAAAGGCCCCCCTCCCGGGGCCCAAGGTACGCATAATCTCTGCCTTCAAGCCTTCCTATTCTAAATTTCTATTAGCTCGCTAAGTACTGACTTAAGCATCGGAGCGACCTCGCCGGGTAATTACCCCCGGGTTCTCTGATTTTCTCTATAGATCAGCCACCTCAGCCATCAACTGGAAGCCACTTCATTGCCAGCTAGGAGCAGCCAGATTGCACAGGATCAATTGGCGCCGTCTGTGGGAAGCGCTTCGAAAATCCTCTTTCCACCAAGCATTCTTACTCAAGTTTTTATGGCTTCCTCCAGTAATGCTGGACACAACACTGATATGAACACCTCTGGGGGGTAATCTTAGGTCCCAACGGTATGCATCAGTCAATTCACCGTACCTTTCTCTACAGATGGGGTCCCTACTCTGAACGTGCCCCAGATCATGGCACCAGTGAATGCTCCACTCCCCACCACAGTAAGTGCAACCTTTGTAGAACCATCTGTTCCCCCGATGGCCGGACAGAACCAACTTGAAGATCTAGTACACTGCATGCGAGCTATGCAAGCTCAAATGCAGCAGGTCCAACAGTTCCAATTATATCAGCAACAGGTACTACACCATGTTTATCAACAACAGTACCAGCAATAGTTTCCACCACTGCCTCAAAACCAGCAGTTGTTGCCACCCCAGCATCCAACTACGCGGAAAACTAAGTCTCGCCGCTGTAGCGAACACCCTCCTTGCCAGGGAGAGACATCCCAAATCCAGAACCTTCAGGGGAGTCAAGTCTCATCCCGTGGCAGGAGGGAGAGACAACTTACTCCTCCCACCTCACAACAAGTAAAC